CAGCAGCACGCGAGAATCCCATTTTGGCGCCGTCGCATAAAAACATTCGGCCTCTTACTGCAACTGCCAATATTCTGTTTCCAATCCAGTACGTCTGTTATCTGTGTGCAAGGCTAAGTACAGTCCTGCCGGCGCCCTACCTCTGGCTAAGCCCTTGGTAAGTGACGATGTAGTTCAGAGAGCTCGAGTCATCCTGAGCCGCATGGGGGGGGGGAGTGCCTTCCCAAAACTGTTCTGGGAGAACCTGGCCGCAGATGGTTTATGCGAGGACGAGACCTCCCCCAAGAGGCGAAAGATATAAACAGGCAACGCCCCACACATTCGCCGTAACCGGACCTGGCGGTTACAACTTGTTAGTTCATGTCTTGCATTAGCGTGCGTTTGTAGTTGGTGTAGTGTATAGTCGACTACAGAATGTTCCACTTTTCACAGGCAATTATTTGCCTGGAGTGGTAGGCCGTGCCGCATCACACGGACTGAGTTCACAAATTATAGCTTTGAATAGTAGAAAAAGTAAAAACATGACCTTTTTTCCTCGATAATTATCAAAACTAATGCTGTACAAATATATACTTTATTTGAAAGAATGTAATATTTCGACCACAGGTCTTTTTCAAACAGTTTCAAACTAGAAAAGATATCATTTCAATTTGCCGCATTTCCAACTGCCTTTCAACATATAGCTTTAGTCCTATAGCCTATAGCTTTGTCCCAATGCTTTCAATCGACACGCTTAATTACGTGATAAACGGCACAACTTAGCGCTCCGGTCAACTGATAGTTTCTGAGGAGTGGAACATCATTCTGTAGTCGACTATACACGTGTGATGTGCACACCTTCCACTCGCCGTTTCAGGTCCAGACGGCTAATTTTGTTTTTCATATCTCGCATTATTGTGTGTTTGTATTTGATATCGCGTACTTGTGAAGCAGGCACATGTGTTGTGCGCACCTTAGCAGTTTTGTTTTTGGTTTGTCCTAGGCCACTCATTTAGAGCTGTAGTGGTAGGTACTTGGCTGTAACATTGACATTAATAACTATTACATTAAATTAACATTAATTATTATTAACATAAATTAATTAAATTAAAGTAACATTAAATAACTATTTGATGTGGCGATGAGTTTTACTGCGATTTATTTAGTTTACCGTCGACACAAATCACAATCCTACTGCCTGGTGGGGGCACCCGGCACAGGGATTTATGAGAGCGAGAAATATTCACTGGGTAGTATCATTAATGTTTTACTGATTTGATAAGGTTATATGTACGTGCACTCCAGAAGTTTTGAGACTTTTTCAGTAGAGACAGTTGTCTGTTTCAGAGAAGCATGAAACTTGTATGACTCTCGAAATGGAACTTCCCGAGTCCAATGCACCTGCTTTAGCGCTCCTGTCACTGCCTGAAGGCCTGCTGATAGGCCTTCAAAGTGAAGGTGCCCAGGGCCTCTGTCACAGCCTCACTCATCTCCTCCACATCCTCCGAAAGACGGCCCCTGAGCTTCCCTGTCAGTCTGGGGAACATCCAGAAGCCAGGGGCCAGATCAGGACTGTTGGAAGGGATACGGACGGTTTTGACGCACATCTGTGTCAGATAGTTCGTCTCCATGGTGGACCTGTGGGTGTGTGCGCTGTCCTGGTGCAGGAGCCCCTGGCCAGAGTTGAAGAGTTCCGACCTTTTGCGGCGAAATCTCTTTCTCAACTCCCTCAGAACCTTCACGAATCATTCCTTGTTGACAATCTTGCCGTGTAGGGGACCCAGGTTATGAAGTTTTTGCCTTTTTGTTCTAAGTAAGGGATTAATTTGAGCTTCCCAGGGGACCTGCGCTGTCTGTCTTTATTGGGTCTGAAGGAGTCAGTGTGTTTTCATTGGACCTTTTGTCTCTTGGTCTCATGATGGTAAAAATACATCCAGCTTTCGTCTCAAGTCACTTGAGAGCCAATTTGCTATGTTTCTCGGGCATTTCTGCCAAGCTAATCCCAAAATTTTATTGCACAGCGACCCTCCAAGTTGTCTTTACATGAACAACCTGACTGTGCTCTACACTGGTCACTGTGACAAGCCGCGTGCGACTTGCCATGTTCAGGGTGACGCCGTTGCCGTCTTTTGCAACGTAGAAAAACAAAATTACGCAAGTACGTTTATAACAACTGTGGTAAGGACTTGTGAGAACAACAAGTATCTAGCACTGTTCATATGGATTTTACGAGGCCAGTCTCAAAACTTCTGGAGTGGACGACGTATATTAAGCAGTCAACTATCACTGATACATTATCAACATTCTGATTGTGGGAGTTCCGTTGACGTCCCGAAAATGCATTTAATTTCGAATCCAAGCGATATCTGCATCTTAAACGCACCCCGATCTTTAATTCATTTATTGACTTATTTATACGATAAATCAATAATCATAACTAATCTGTTAGCGGTAGGGCCACACTACAGGGTTGGGCAGATAAATTGGGACAAATTTCAACTTCCTCTTAAACGACTATTTTTTGAGTGATTAAGATAATTTTTGAACATAGATATAGGCTAATGAATACTTTTCCATGTTATGCAGGTTGCGTTGTAATTTTGAGTCGGCTGGTCACAGAACGTGGGCTTAAGCAAGTCACTATCAACTTAGTCCGCGCGCACATGCATGCCAATACTCTAATTATGCTCCATCAAATGGCTGAAAGTAGTGTGTATCGAGCAGACGTAAACGTTGGAGGAAGAGAAGATGTTGACTCATCCTTACATACTTATTGCATTGACACCGGCCGCTCCCCCGGTTTTCCAGGGGGGCTAAAAGGCAAAATTCAGTTAAATCAGAGGATCCTCGCGAAAACAGTGGCGCGAGCTTACAACGAAGGTAGCCGCGCCATGAGAAAGCGATATACCAGCACCTCAAACATGTACTCTTATGCATTGATGCATATCAACCTGTTAACATAGATGTTGAAGCAGCTGTGACGTTAAAAAGATTGTTTCCTCTTGAAGGGCTTGGAGAAGCGAGCAAGCACGTGCAGGTCTCTTTTGACGATGGTATCCCCATAACCGAACATATGAACAACCGCAAACACCATGAAACATCGCAACCAGCCCAGAAGACGTGATCTTAGTGCCAAAAAGCATGCAGCAGACCTCGGTGATGGCATTCCACTCGGTGACTTCTGACGGCTACGTGAGGCCCCCTTATTTTACGGAATCGGGAGGGGGTTCGCCATTACAGCGTACCTAACCATTATTCCGGCAGTTCGAATCAACAAGATGGAAGAAGGCAACATCCTGCATGGAGTGATACTCTTCGAGGAGTCAGCTCCCCGGCATACAGTAAATTAAATACAAAATCTCCTGAAACGGAGGATCCCGCAAACTGCACCCAAGGGAAAATGCCCCCTTCCTCATTAAACCTCAGCCCACACAAGTTTTGGTTGCTGGGGCGTTTTTGCGGGTGAGTCTAACGGACGTCCCCATGTGACTGTGGTGAGCCTCAGCAGTGCCAGTTGGCTACAATTACGAGCCATTTCAGACGGGAGATCTCGCCGCGCGTGCGGCCAGTCCAGGTACCGATAAGGACTGATGCAGGTGGACCACGGTGACCATAGTTGGTGATAAATGTGTAAAATTGGTGTGACAATATGTGATCCAAATTTGAAATGCCTACGTTTATAAATTTCTAAGCTACGGCGTTCTGAATGCAAATATGTGTTTTGTCCCAATTTATCTGCCCAACCCTGTAGTGTGTAAGATGTGCATATGTATGTTTCTCCCTGATCGCTTTACTCATTCAGTTAAGCATTACGTAAATCAATTTTCTTATAACCTTAATGACATACATGACGAAAACGTGCATTCAATTTTCTCTTAAATGATATAATTTTTAGCCGCTAATAACTAATTCCAAGTCTCCAGTACCTACATCAAAACGCAAAAGTCCTCGCCATACAAAACATTGAAATGAGGGAGCTGTCTGACTTACGCAATTTTTTTTTCTTTACACGGCAGCGCTATGGGTGGCAGATAGGAAAATCCACGTGGTAAGTTCGTACAGAAACTAGATACTCCCTACTAGAATGGCTCTAAAATCAAAAGGCACTGATTACGAGCGAGCGAGCGCAGCGAGCGAAGCGAAGTCTTTTCAATATAACGGAAAAAAATCTCAGTATGAGCGGCCCGGCCCGGCCCGGCCCGGCCCGGCCCGGCCTGTAACGCTTTTGAGAGGCTTATATCTCAGCAACCGCTGGACCGATTGTCCTGCGGTCTTTTTTGTTGGGTAGCCCCATCCCTTCTACCACGTAATTGACTACTTTTGATGCATCTCAGTGACCGTCGTGGCACGTGCCACGTGAAAAGTCAAGGGTGTTCAAGCTGTTTTGCAAAAGTAGTGATTTTGAGAGGCTCATATCTCAGCAGCCGCTTGGGCGATTGTCTTGCGGTAATTTTTGTAGGGTAGCTGCATCCCTTCTACCAAAAATAGGATACTCTCGAGGCATGTGGGTCACCCCCAGTGCACGTGAAAATACAACAATAAGAGGTGTCAAATTTGTTCCCATTTTAATAACTCGGTAATTACTTGGGCGATTTCGCTGAAACTTGGCATACAGGTAGGCACCCACCAGGCAATGCATTCCCATGTGTTGCGGTTAGGGTGCTACTGCACGTGCGCACGTGCAGGGGGCGTTTCCAGATCTCGAGAACGGCTGGGCCGATTGTGCTCAAATTTGGTACACGGCTGGGGACCGGTTAGTAAGGTGCCGTGCAAAAGTCAGTTTGGACCCCGTTTGCACGTGCGCACGTGCAGAATGCCGCTTCCAGATCTCAGGAACGGCTGGGCCGATTGCGTTCAAGTTTGGCACACCGCTAGCGACCGTTTAGAAGGGTGCTTTGCACAAGCCCCGTTGGAAGTACCCTCTTGCCCTTCCGCACGTGCAGGGCTCACTATCTCGCTCGCTCGTTCTTCGCCCAAAAGGCGTTTTACTGGTTTTAATACGTGTGTTGTTAGGTACTGACCTGTGGATGAAAACACCTTTCGAATGGCAGTTTTGCTCAGCTTTTCACTCTTCATCAATTTGTCTTGTGAAAAAGCGGCGATGTTCGACACGATCCACATAAACAGGTATGGGAGTGCAGACAGAAGCGCATTCTGCAAACAAAACAGAAGGAAACTGGTTCTTGAAAAGTGACATCCCCCAGTACATAGCGAATGGCTCTTACGAGGGGCATTGAGGCATTGGTAAACGAAAAGTAGGTACGTATAAGTTTGCTTACACAGCATAACCGCATTGTTAAAAACCAAAGGGTATTTTTGGCAATAGTGCTTAGGTTATTTGTCTCACTGCTGATACGACAGAAGTCCGGGCTCTTCTGCTCACCTGGTCGATGTTGAAGTGCAGGATGTTGTTCATGTAGGTGGGCAGCTCGGTGAGCAGCATGTACCAGCCCCAGCTGTAGCAGAAGGCGGCGAACACGGACGACAGGAACGGCACGCTGGTGAACATGGCCTTCCACGGCACCGGAGGCCGCTCCTGTCCCAAACAACAGGCACTCGGTGTTACTCACGTGGACTACTACTCAGTGAATGCGAATTAATCACGCTGATATATTCAGCCAGAGCCCTTTAATGCTGCAATTATATTGAAGTAAAATAGTATTCTATGTCATATAATGTAGGTCAACACAGGAAGTACGATTGGTTATATTACCTAATTGATTTCACCATGGGTTTGATATAGAGTGGGTGTAACAACCTCTCTTTCTGATGTTTGACCCTGGGCAGCAATGTCCGCGTGCAGCGACTGCTGCGAGACCACTAACGTGATGAGGATGTCCGCCCATGGCGGTGTGATACTCGTGCTTCTTGGTCTCGATAAGGATGCGCTCCCTTTGCGTGATGCGCGGGTGCTCATCTGGGTAGTTGTACACCAGCAGGGCCCAGACGATGCACCAGATGATGCTGGAGACGCCGAAGAAGTAAAACACGGACTCCCAGCCGAGGCTGGAGCCGGCCAGGAGTCCAGAAATCGGCATACCAATGATGGTGCCCCACGTATTTCCTGCCAAACAAACGGGAGCAGTCTGTGTTCACGAAAGCACATAGTCTCATCCGATTGGTGCATTCGATTCGAATGTACGAATCCGTCGAATGCGGGGTCTACAGGAAAGCCAACTTTTGAACAGGGCGATGGCTGATCCTGCTATGAGTGGAAGCTTTAGCGGATTGAAAAGAAACCCTTTAGGTCGAAAGTCGTATATGTCAGAAGATAACAATGTGCACGTACGTTTGTACCAACAATTTGTGCTCCCAAGTCATTTACCTGTTGTGCCGAGAATGGTCATTCGACTTTTCTCCATTGGAGGCGCCCAATTACTGACCACCACTTGGTAACATGGGTACAGCACCGCCTGAAACGCAAGGAGTGGCGATACTCACAATTTGCAATGCAGCATTTATTTGTAATGTGGTTAACTCTAAAGGCCGCCGTCCACTATGAGGAACGCTTAGGTGTCCGTCAGTGTCCGTGAGCTCTCCGTCTGCAGTCCGCAAGCGGCGACATTCCGGACCGACTCCGGATGGAATTCCGTCACAGTGGGCGGCGGTCTTCAGGCATTACTCGGTTCATTAGCCGATCGCAGTATCTGACTCTTCCGCTATCGGTCTGTGTCGTTTCAATACGTTATCCCACCCAGCCATAAGACGTGTGTGCCCACCTGTCCGAGGCCCATGATGAAGCGGCAGGCGATGAGGAGACCGAAGCTGGTATTTGCACAGACGGGCGTCAGCAGGCTGCCGATGGCTGCAGCAAGAACAACAAGGAAAACGTGGTCATGGGGGGTCACCGGATATGGTCTGAGCTGTCTGGTTCAATGTCAGTCATTTTTTTTCTCTCTCTCCCTCTCTTCCTCTCCTCCTCGATCTAAAAATCAGGCAACTTTAAAGACATAAGAGCAAAAAAAAAAACTAAGGTCTTGGAGAAATACCAACAAATAAAGCCGCAGAACTATTTGTCCTGGCCAATCAACTACTTGTCATTGTTTTATCTGTCACCCTTGAGCGCAGCCAAGCAGCTGACTAAGCCAAGTTAAGTTTGAAACAATCAGCGTTGAGTTAGTGAAGTGCGTAAAGGGAGTTTGGCCTATCTTATCTGATGGCCAGTCGGCAATCTAGCGGATTGAGCTTTGACAAAGGATCTAGGAACTAAGCTTAGCACTCAATTATCGCAGCTGAGGCGTCATTGTCTGATTAGTAATATTCGGCCATACTCGGTTGCAACTATGTAGCCCTCAACGAGGGCTATTTTGAGATTAGTGTGCGACAAAAGCGTGAGTGTTTCTGTAATGTGATCCCAATAAGTTGCTTATTTCTTCGCTGTTGGTATTCCGTAATGCAATTTATGGATCACGTGACGATCTAAGCGCCAACTTAGGTTAAACCGCGACGAGGCGTGCGAAATAACAGCGTGTTTATGAAAAGGATCTTAAAAGAGCAACAGGAGATATTATCTTATAAAGCAGATTTCAAGTATTTACAATCGAATGTGTCTGATTAATCCTTCAAGACAAGTGCTCTCCAGCCCGGCCTTGCTCCGAGAAGCACGACCCAAGCGGGTAAGGACTGCGATGGTCTTGTTGGACGCAAAGTGTTTTTGTTGGACGGTGACGCCCACTGACCTGATAGGAAGATGCCACAGAAGAACACCAGCCGGGGTCCGTACACCTCGGCTATCCGGCCGGCCGGGAACTGGGTGATGGCGTAGCCCCAGAAGAAGCTGCTCAGCACGATCCCCTGCACCGACTCATCCCAGTCGAATCCGTCCTGCGCACACAATAGGCAGTCACATAAATAAGGTGCTCCGAAAAGTTTTCTGGCGTTTATAAACGAAATAAACAATCAGCGTTCGAGGGTTTTAACTTCTGAATCTGATGAGCTAACAACTGGGCGCGTCATATTAGGGTCAAATCTTTAAATTACATTGCAGCAGGCTGCCTAGTGCCTATTGCTTGGTAAGCTCAATTTCTTTTTCTTTTCTTTTTAGTTTCTTGTTGAGTCTTGCGATGGATGGAGAAAATAATTTGGTCAATAGGCTTGGGACACGTAGCTATAACATTGGAAATAGTACCTATTGGAAAATTTTAAACGAGATCGTATAATTTCAAATTAAATGAAGGCGATATTTTTGGTAATTCAGTATAATTTCGATTTTATCAAGAGGTTTAGGATAAATCAATGTAATATCTTAGGGCTAAGATAACAGCACCAACGAGCATAAGCACGTTTGCTTGCATACGAACAACAGGTGGGGGAAGGAAAGCATCAACAAGGCGGTCTCCTGAATCACCCTCTGTTGGCACAAAGGCGTCGTTAACGCAAACCACTCCAAACCTAATCCCGCATCCATTCAGCCAAATCAATAGTCCATTGTGCTCTACACTATCAACGATGAGTCGGTGGCCGGCGGCGGTGGTGATACGTCAGGCCTCTTGCCAGACAAGTGCGTCGTGAACTCAAAAATTGGTGAGGACGTTCTTGATAGCCACTATGACTACAGACTCCCACATAGGTAGCGATCCCCACAGAGATGTTGTTAATTCCCTTATAAGCAACATAAACAAATCATGAATACTCGTATACAGCGGTATAAAAACACTGGTGTCAGTGTCATCGAGCTGTCAAGTTGCATCTAGAGCAGTGGGTTAGCTTCATATAGGCATTGATTAAAGTCCCTCGGGACAATCGCTTTAGCTCTACCCAAGTGACCTTCCGTGTTGCGACTATTAGTCCGTCCACTGCGCCTGTGAACCCAGTCCCACGTACCGGGTTATACTCGGTTGTGTCGTTATTGGTCCGAGGACACGTATGGCCACTCGGCGGAGCCGATGACTGGTTGGACACCATCTTCACTATGGCCACCGACATGTTGACACGCATCGCGTAACCGGAGGCGAATCCGAACAGACCCACGATGGCGATGGCGTACCGCCAGGGCAGACACGGCAGCAGTTGGTCTGGAGAGCGCAGAAGAGGTGTCAGCGCACAGTGGACAAGAGTCTACCTTTATAGAGGGCAGTGACGACATTAAAATAAAACATACCAGACGACTATAGAAGAGACCAGGCATTTTAGGGACGAGACTCCTGTTTACACCTCTTCTTGGAGTGGACATCTAGTAAAGCGCTGTATCAAACTGCACTGCCCTTGGTAACGCATATGCAACTCACACTTATCGGCCTCCACATTGACATCGACGTCCATCTCCGCCAGCTCGTCTGTGCTCTTGCTCTCCTCCATGGCTAGCAGTCGAAGATCCGCTGAAAGATAGATGGACGTTAAATTTATCGCGCGCCCCGCTGGGATATTCAGCCATCTGCCCCACTGGGGGGGGGGGAGAATTCTCCCCTTGCCTAATTTCCGAACGTTAATCATTTTGGTTCAAAATCCAAAAGGCTCAAAACCGAGATAGCTATTCGAACTTTTTTCTTGCGCCTTTATTCCTTAAAAACTGAAGATGAGGTTTTGCAGTTTTTTGAAGCGAAAATGGCGTGACATGACATTACTTTGCAAATTTTTAAAAAGAACATCCGACGGATTTCTCTCAAATTATCAGGGAACGTGTCAAATCGATGCATGATACGGTACGGAAAGTTTAACGTTGTTTAACGTTGTTAACGTAATCAACGCCAGCTTTAACGTTGTTGGCTTGACTCGTTTAGATACTTAAAGCGAAAACGTCGAGGGAAAAGCAGATCCTCTCCCCCCCCCCCCCCCCCGACAGGGTGCGGGTTAAGGTTCAACATACTCCCGGCCCTCACTTCAGTATGCTTATGTAACACGCAATGAGGTAACCATTTTTTAAAGAAAACGATGAATGTATAGCTACTTTAACGACTTCGATCCTAGACTTATTATTTGTGGTTTTATTTCTTCAATTAGCTGAACCCGTTCACAGGAACAATCGGGAAAAATTTAGTGCTACCTTCATGGCTCGACCTTAAATACGTTGGAGGACCGATGGCCATTGCAGCGGTTAGGCGCAACTCATTGTAGGTGTGTATGTAGGTGTAGCTCATTTACCTTTGGCGCAGGTCACGCCAGCTACATTCTACAAAGAATCAACGCCAGCTTTAATAGCTGTGACTAAGCGCATAGGCGTAGGAACAGGGGGGAGGGGGCATGGCCCCCCACTTTTCAGCCATTTTTTTAAAGTAAAATCTTTATATTTGGTTTAGATACAAAACTAAGCAGGGAATGGTTCAGCAAGGTAAAATGAGCACAAAACTACACAGACTTTATTCACAGGAGTATTGGGGCTCCCACAAAGTGACATCGAAGTTTCTCTCCCCCACACACACACACACACATACACACACTTTTCGTGAAGTTCCTACGCCCATGACTAAGCGGCTGTCCAACTCTCAATATTGAAATTGAGCTGAGGCAGTCCAGTTGAAGTGGAGTTTTGTAAACGAATTTTTACAAGAGTATTCAAAATTCAGTTTCGAGTCACATGGAAATCATAAAATTTATTTGACGTTACTCCCCTTTACATTGGTGCTTTGTTTAGCGTTTTAGGGCCAAACTAAGTTTAGAGCTGACCTCTCCGAAGCAAATGGTGCCACAAACTGCAAAATTGAGTCATTTTCCGTCATTGCTGGTCATTACTAAATAGGTGTTGCGAACCAATAGGTATTAGCAATGCTCTATAAAAAGTGTTAGGCTGAAAGAAACGGTGACGAGGCATTTAGTGCTGGAAAAGGTAACAACAGTTGATTTTTTCTGAACGACTGAACAAACATCCGCTGACCGTTAGGCGAGAGCAGTTCAAACATGACATCTGTCATTTGTAGCTTATGTTACTTGCCGGAAAATGATAATTGGAATATGAACATAATTATTCCACGCAAACGGCCGCTCATGTACCAACCTCACCTTGGTACTTAAGCGGTTTTTCAATGATTTCTTATTTAGCTACCAGCGGTCACTCACATGTCTAAAGGAAGAAAGACGGGTTCACTGAACCTGAAAGGTGGCCCTGCGAGGTTCTCGACGCCACAAGGACGAGGAGGCGCCAGCGGAGGCAGAGAACCGGATCAGGTGGCCAGCCAGGTCACGGCAGCACAGTCGTGTGCGGCGACTGCCGAACAATGGAGAAGGCAGCGCGTGCCGGTAACGACTATCTCTGGGCTGGTCAGCGCCGCATTGATAAGACCACTGGGGCGGGGAAGGTCACCAAGGGTCACTACAGCCGCGACAGCGGTCTGCACGGGACGGAAATAACGAGATAGTCGGCGATCAGGTGCCTCGAGAGGCTCTCAGCCGTCGATGGAATCGTACATAAGGCGCCGCACTTCTTTGGCAGCAACCTTTGACCCAAGTGCGTCAGATGAAATGTGACCTCGAAGATATAGGACGCGATGTATTGAATTCATCCCAACTTGTTTGGTCGCCTGGTCGAACACACTCAGCAGTGTCTATCACCATGACGAATTATTATGGGGGTTAATCTTGGCACAGCGGCATTCGCGGGTTGGACATCCGGAAATCAACCTTTCACTGGAAAAAATACTTTTTTTGTTTTTGCATCGAAAGCAGGTGGAATGCTCCAGCTTCATGATTGATCAACTTTGGTCGTCTACGTCTTAAATACGCCTTCGCTACCTACTCTACGCTAATAATGTCGTAAATTGATCATTCACAATACCGTGTCTAACTTTGTTGCTATGGCCTAAGCCCTAAATGAAAGTGCAGATAGTCTTCATGTTTGCTTGTATTCGAAACACTTGTCACGCTGCCAAAAAAAAAAAACGAAGGACCTGCCCGAGGCATCCTCCAGGCGGGAGACAAATTGCACACAAAACCCTGGCCATGGGCATCTTAACCCTCGCCCGCACATGAGGGGGGGGGGGTTGCCACCCCCCCCCCCCCAGGTAGTCTTTCTGCTCTGCACTCAACATTTTTAGAGCTAGAAGGCTGATTTTTTATATAGCTGCTCCTCTATCCTTTCTTGATGTCCACTGAAAATTTCAAGTTTCTGGGGTTTTTGGTTTTGGAGATGTGACCTTGTTTTTCAGGTCATGTCATGACCCAAATGACCAAATTCAACATCTTGCGTTGGCTATGGGCCTTGTGAGCCTTTGACACCTTGATTTCGGCCTTTTTGCCAGTCTTACCTCCCACCTATCATGGAACATGTTGTTTGACGATGTACAGATGTCAAGGTCAAGGTCAACCTAGGTCATCTAAGTTAATTGTGTTTTAGGCAAGCTGAATTTACTTTTCGTGAAGTTTTTTGACTGCATTTTTGGTAAAAGCTTCTCAGATCATCATTTCATGTGATATGGACACATAAACACTCGGTGCACACATCAGTATACACACAGACACACACAGACATACAAACACATATAACTGACCTTGACCTAACTTGACCTGAAATGACCTCAGCAGCAAAATTCTGGTCGGGTAGTGTTACAAAGAGGTTCTAGCTGACTTGGCACCAGAAAACGGCATCGTCATCGGTATATGATAAGCAGCGCACTTGATATCCAACGGTGACCCAAAACAGCAACATTTTTTAGTTTGACCTGACCTGGAAGGTCAATGACTGACCTGAGAAGGTAAAACTGGGTATCATTGGATTCGTCTCTTCCCAAAGAATCTTTTTGGTCTTTACCGCGAAGCTCTATCTCCAACAGGAACAAAATGGCGCGGGGGGGGTGGTGGCAACCACCCACCCACCCCCCATGTGCGTTCTAGGATGGGAAAAATGGCATGTGCGGGCGAGGGTTAAAAAAGCCCGTCAGCCGGGGAACACAATAAAAATAAAAAATCACTTCCGGTGGTGCCGCACTTCATGGTTAATGGTGGCGATTGACATTGTCAGTTGCTTACCGAGCCATTGTGGAAGGTTAGGCCATGGTGAATCGGAAGAGCAACATATGTGTTCACTTCTCATATCGAATATTGAATAATTGCTTCATAGCTTGTAATTAAACGTTATATTTGTTTAACGACGTGCTGCCACGCTGCACCATGTCTGAGGCGACTACGAGAGGGGCGACACTGCGCCATCACGATTGTCATTTACTGACACTGACAAGGAATGCAATGCCATTGAGGCGCGCGCATATAACAAACGTCGTTTCATTTGCAAAACAAACATATATTAATAACGAACAGGTTCTTTTTAGCTGTTACGTTACCAACACGTTTCAATGGCATCACGGGCAGCCGATGTTCACGACAGGAAAGGTTACGTCGACCCTTGATGTCGACCGTCGACCAGTATGCTTATCAGTAAGACCGTTTAAAGGGACCCTCCCACCTTCAAAAAAGTTTATGAATTGGCATGAAAGTGATGTCGCTCGGTTCAGAAAGAGCGAAAACGAATATCTACCAAATTTCACCGAAAAATATTCACCGGTTTTCAAGATATTAGACTTTTACTTTTGTTTACTTTTTGGGATCTCCGCTGTTCCTAGCGACTTTATTTGGAAGCAATAGTTTGGCAGCTGAAAGTGCGGCACTTGTTGCGCGCAAAGCAGCATATACCACCGTGTGCTACAAAACGTTTTAGTCAAACATTTAAAAATCGTTAGATATCTGCGCTGACGTCACACATTCAGAGGGGTATTCCTATGCATTAGCCCCTCTGAATCAAAATGCTGCAATTTTGAAATTCAATATTTCCGATTTAAGGCATTTCTCGATGTTGTGAGTGCCGAAACCGGTAATTGTGAGCCCAGTTGGTGACATACCAGGGAAATAAGCTAAAATTAGAGCGCTCTATTTATTGCTCCTGCCCCATGTTGAAGAGATACCCCTAAAAGCGCGATCTTTTATCGGCCCTTACGCAGCAAGGCAGTAATTCTCAGACCGGTGGATGGTATCAATAGAAAGAGAATGCGTCAAAGATTAACATGAATTAATTAAAATAACATTAAAATGTTAATTAAGCGTGGAAATTAGTCCCAAACATAAGCTAATTATTGCTCCTACCTCGGCAACGGCGCTCCCCGCAGTCAGCGGAGAAGCTAAAATAAAAGCCACCATCCTCCTCCGTAAGTCAATTTTAGAGCGGCAGAGTGGGCCGATGCGGGGCCACCAAACTGAGGTGAGACGTGGCTAGCAATTGCAAACCGCCATAGAAATCAATATCTTAAGACGTACAATATGGGATGATTACTCTGAAGCTGGAGTGAAAGCATGAGTAGATTGCAAGAAACGAAATGCATAGATTGGTTGAATTATGTACAATAGGCACAGCTCAGATGAAGCCATTTCTATGATGTTGACATTTGACATAACCCTTCCTCTCCTCACCTATGACCTAAGTGCATTGGCAGTTACCGGCATAGTTTTTGAGCACGAGTGTAATTCGCCATCGGACCGCAATGCATGTTGCTAGGCTGCTGCAATTACAACGAACATACGAATACTGCCTTCATTTGTAGACGTTTGTTTTTTAGGCGGTCTTTGACGTACAAGGGGGCATACCTGTCCACAACTTGAGTTTCTCCGAATTTCAAAAACTCCCAGAATTTCAATTCCTTATGCACTGTTGTAGGTACAGCCAAGGTACAGCTATGTTCACAAGTTTTCGTTTCCTCCTGTTCTAAAAAGGATGATATTTGTCGATTTCGTGCGTCGCTGATAGGAGGGTGCGTTTAATAATTAGGCCCAACGCTTTCTGCATCCGCGAGTACCTTCAAAAGGGAACAACAGTTTCCATTTATTACACTATGGGACATGTGACAAAATGACCACTGGAACACGCATGAAACGGAGCTCATATTCCTAAAAATGTCTACAATCACTTCTTTTCTGACACTATAAGCAAATACCATCTCAAGTTAGGTGGTTGACAGACAGTCAATGGAGATCTGGGGAGACTGAGTGATGCCAATTCACCACTTAACTGATAATGAGGGCCGAGGGAAGAGAAACATGCAACATGCACAACTGACAACTTGACACGTGACAAAACACTACCACTATTGCGCAGTGCACAACAAATTACAGCAGCCAGCCCAAAAAATGCTTTTGGTGGCTAATTGCAAAACAAGTCACTAATAAATGTCTTAGTTGCAGCTGAACACTGCACAATGATCACACTGTTCACACATTGAGTGAGATGCCACAGGTGGTTTGAATCACACTTTGGTACAACTGCAAATCTGAAGTGTTGTCATGAGGTTCATGCCTCCATGATCACAGCACTTTGGTTGTGGTTGGCATAACACTTGTAGTCTGCAGAGTTCCACATGAACTGCAGACACCTCATCTGGTGGTCTTCATGTTGCTCAACTTCTTCAGGAGGCAAATGTCGACCACCCAGCGGAAGCATGGTCCTGCAGAAAAGAAAGGTAATGCATAAGGTACAAACATTATCTGCTGAAACAGCCCCTTCTGTTGGCTGTTATTAAACTTTTAACATAACATAACAACATGTATTCCATGTATATTACATTTGTTGAAGTAAAATACTGCTGGCTATTTCAAAACCAGAAAATGAAATTATATTGTGGCATAATTCACATGCTCAGCTATCAGTATCAAATAATAAATTAATTTAAAATTTGGCATATTCTATATAACACATGCATAGAATATTCTACTTCACGTCACAAGGACTCACAATCTTTCTGTTGGGTGTTCGATTGACGCATTAACTAAGTTTGTCTTAGGTTTTATTATTGCAAAAATTCATATTGCATTATTGTATCAAAATACTGCCAGCAATAACAAAACAAGAACATGAAATGTCAGTGAGCAAGCCGCCTTTCCTAAAAATGGATTACTTTGAAAAGAATTTTAGTTTCTTTTAAGGAAAAGGAGAAATGACTATCAGGTAATTATCAGAAAACCACTCAACCAGCAAGTGGCTGGGTGGTTTCACAGCAAACATCAAGCCAAAACATATACTTACATTTATCTAACAATTGAGCCATTTGACTACTACAAGGATATGTGAGCAAAATAAGAATCCAATTATCCAATGTCGACTTCCTTGCAAAGTTTATGCCTTATTTTATGAAAATGTGTCACTAGAATATGATACTTATCATCGAATATTATTTAATTTACGATTTATTTCGATCGGAACGCACATGGAGTCCCGCGCCATTTTCGTCGACGATGAATATGATCGTGTTTCATGAAGAGATAAGGGGTTTCAATGGTCTTTCAAAGCAATAATTTGATGCAAAAATTTGTAGGAAATAATATAAAGCTGGTTCAAATGGCCATCAACCATTTAAAACACCGAAAATACTCACAACTCCGTCCCGACGACCACGCAGCACCGCGCACGCCACACTACTGGCACAATGCCAAAACTGCTGTCACAGCAGAAATGTTTTTTTTTTTCTCGATTGCAATTGTGGAATTATTTATTAAACAGAAGAGGATCTTTCCGAAAAACCGACTGGTTTCATACACAGATGCATGGAAAATAAAAAAATCCCGGTAAGTTTATTTGTATTGTTTTGTCAATTTTGACATGCTCCTAGTTTGCAGCCATATTTCGATATGTTCTACAGGGAGTTCAGAATTATTTCAGGACCAATCTTTTCCTCATTCATTTTCCCGTCGATCATGAAATTTTTAGAGCGGAACAATTAGTTTCCAGGCGGTCCGAGCGGTTTTCGTGAGAAGGGTACAAAAATCGGCGTCATTTTTAGAGCCTCGACACCAGCTCAACACAGGACCCTATGGGAGACGGTGAAGTAGCGGGAGCAATAAATAGAGCGCTCTAATTTTAGCTTATTTCCCTGGTGTGTCACCGACTGAGCCAGGGACCCCATTTTGGCTATCTCAACTCAAATCTAATGTTAAGGTGGGAGGGCCCCTTTAAGAGCTGTTCACCATCGCCGGCAGCTGTTGGACGCCGATTTAAAAAGATATGTAAACATTGCGTTGCAGCATTTGAAATCGGGCAATGATCTTCTTTTCATGCTAGACAAATCTCACAAACTTCTTGTTCCCTTTTTGGCCCACCTGTTCATGCATGCTTTCTGCACATGCGAAAATTTCAGAAGTTACCCAATGTCAGGTCACCAGGTCACACATTCGAGCCATAAAAAATCGCCCGCAGTCTCAGGACTCGCCTCATCAGCGACGGGGAAGGCCCTTCCAGCTGAGAAGGCCACACATTCAAAGCTATGAGATGCGATAGTGCACACTGCAACACCACTACTGGAGCGGGTGCTTAAGTCGTTCGTGAATTGGTCGGCGTGAAAGGCCGATGTAGGACTTATTGTGAAGGTGCCACTGTGATACTGCAACTGGAGTTGATGTTGATGCACTGTCTAAGCGGTGGGCGCCGACCGCGGGCATTGTCTGGGTCTGAATGGGGGGGGGGGAGAACTGAAATGGTGTCGAATGGAAATTCGCCAAGTGATTCAACGAATTCGCGAAGTGGTCAAGGTCAACTATACGAAGGTATCGGAACGAGCAACGATGTCCACTAAGCCAGTGGGCCTAACGACAGAGCTCAATTGAGAACTAATAGTTCGACGAGGTGATAATGTCATCTCCCAGACCGCGCTGACAGCTAATGTCAGCACGAGATTGTGCGCGGCGCGGTGTGACTGAAGTGCCACTTAGACGGGAAGCACGGTAGGCGGCCGCGGTGGTCTCGCATAGCGCTGATAATTTTAGCACAACAGCGGCATTGATTACAAGTGTCGTATCGCTCGGACAAGGCCGATCAATTAGCGCTACGGTAATCAGTGCGCATCAACGCCGGACACACCTTGGTAAGTATTTTACAAGTGCCTTCATCAGTAGAAAATTCCCTTTCCCTGGCATAGCTTGAAGGATAGCCGGGATGCCAAAATTCGAGAAGAAAAATTAGAGACAATTTTATTGTACTATTGGCGAAGAAGATTAACCAGGCTGAGGCTGACCGGTAGCTGACCATTTTGAGATTTCCACGCAAACTCTTTGGATATTAGAAGTTATCTGTTAGGGGCATGTGACGCCCCTCCTCCCTCAGCCATTAATGGGCGGCGAAATACCCGAACGATTACCGGTTTAAATGTATGGGTGAAGTATTGCCCTAGATTCAATGATACGTGACTGCGCAATGTGCATGTTCATGATTATGACTGTTGTATGTTGTATGTGTTGTAAAGGTCCACAACTAAAAATCCGGAAAAAGTTCATTTAGCTGTATCTTTCAAACTAGAGGCCGCACGAGCAAAAATGAATATTCACGTGAAATATACATTAATTTTCTACTGCATCAGGTCCGGAAATTATTTATTTCCCCAACAATGTCGGCACTAGACGGACTTAACGAGACAGAGCGCAGAAACGTTATTGGACGGTTTTACGCTGACCACTGGCGTAAGGGGAAAGCATGGACCGTAAAACACTTCGTGGCCATGAACATACCAAAATCAACTATATACGACATTTTGAAGAGGTGTGACGAAGGTATGTCCATGAAAAGAAAAACTGGTGGGGGTCGAACACCTAAGAAAATGAGCCCCAGAAAGATTGAGGCCCTTAAAGGGTACCTGAAGGAGAACTTGGGTCACTCTCAGTCTCGTGCGGCCGCAAAATTTAACGTAACACAACAGTATGTGTCGAAAATACTGAAAACAAAGACGGCAATGAAATATCGGCGGCGCACAACTGTCCCTTTGGTTACGGAAGCTCAAAAGAAGCGGCAGCAAACAGCATGTGGACGCCTAAGGAAAACCTTGCTAAAGCCTGCGAGCAAGACGGTCGTAGTGATGGATGACGAGAGTTATTTTCCATTCACCGACCCACAAGTAAAAGCCAATGCAGGATACTATACGGACGATAAGGAAAATGCTCACCCAGACATAAAATACAAGCCCAAAGCAAAGTTCCCAGACAAAGTCATGGTGTGGGCCGCCATCTCAGACCAGGGCATCAGTCGCCCCTATATCGCATATAAAAGTGCGATGAATGCTGCAACCTACCAGAAAGAGTGCATTCCACGACTTGACAAGTTTATCGAAGAAAATCACAACAAAAAAGACGTGGTATTTTGGCCAGATCTTGCATCCGCTCACTACGCAAAAGACGTGCAAGAAGAGCTCAAGAAGCGGAACATCTCCACAGTTCCACGTGCATCCAATCCGCCTGCTGCGCCCCAAATCAGACCAGTTGAAAAGTTCTGGGCCCTCCTCAAAAACGAGGTATATAAAGACGGGTGGTACGCGACGTCTGCAGATGGTATGAAGAGACGCATCCAAGCAAAGATCCGGACCTTCGACAAAAACACCGTCCAACGCCTAATGGGAGGTGTCAAGACGAAAGTGCGTCGCGTGGCGGAGAGGGGTCACATTGAGCTGCTTCGTCTCTAGACGTGATAGAGCAGAGAAGGATGTGTCCAGTGATGTGCGGTTTGTATGAGTCTGAATAGTCCTTCAACAAATATACAAGTTTAAACCATTTCCGGATTTTTAGTTGTGGACCTTTATGTGTAAATAAAGCCCATATGAAAAAAAAAACGTTCGGCTCGTGGCTCGATGGCAGCGAGTTCGCGGCCGGAGAGCTCTACGTCGTTTGACCCGCCATTCTGCATTCAGCCAGCTGACAGCTGGCCAGAGGGCCACGCAAGACCTCGGAGGACCGTCTCTCTAGCTACCCGCGATACGATAAATTTCGATGAAATTTGCCACTAGTGAACCGCGGGCGCAGGCAAGGCCGGGTGGTGAGTCCCTGATATCACTCGCAACAAGCGCCCGTTAGCGTGGCATTCGGGCCCAAAAGCAACCATTCGTTCGCAAGGGCGAAGTTTAATGAAGATCTAATATGGCTAAAGTTAACCATTTTCTGTCAGCGCCGTCCAACCATAGACGCCCTTATCCCTCCTTTATGTATAGTAACAATTCAGAACATAATGCCCGTACTTGCATGTATTGACATATGACGAAGCTGCATACTTATCACATTTGTTCATTGGGCTCATCAGGTTCAATAGACACTCACGCATGCAAGACGAGGACATACATTGAAGACGTGGGAGGTCTGCGCTCGGCATTCAGACGATGAGAACTGCTTACTCAGCCTTCTCCTCGGCTTCAGCAGTCGGGGCCGCCACATTATAGACCAGAGGGGTGCCCAGGCCGTAGGCGTAGGGGTAGGCAAGAGTCGAGTAGGTGACAGGGGTCTCCACCTTCTTGACCTTGACCTCGTGGACCACGGGGCTAGTGTAGGTGATGGGAGCAGTGTAGGTGATGGCAGGGGCAGCCACGTGCTTCACCTCGACCTTCTTGATGGTCGGCACGGTGTAGGTGACGGCAGGACTGAAGTGGAAGGCAGGGGCGGCGTAAGTGGCCGGCACGTAGGTCTCGTGCTCCTTCTCCTTCAGCTCCAACAGAGTGGTGTCGGCAGGGGTGTCAGCCTCCACCTTGTCCAGGGAGACGGTCTTGACGGTGGCCTTGGCCACGGCCGGCAGCAGCACGGCGCTGCGCTTGCGACGCTCGGCCGACTCGACGGCAGGCTTCTCGGCAGCCTCCTTCTCGGCCTCTGCGGCAACGCTGTAGACGAAAGGAGCGCCCAGGCCGTACGGGTGGAAGCCGTAGGTCAGAGGGGTGGCGGCGTAGGTGACGGGGGTCTCCACCTTCTTGACCTTGACCTCGTGAACCACGGGGCTAGTGTAGGTGATGGGAGCAGTGTAGGTGATGGGAGCAGTGTAGGTGATGGCAGGGGCAGCCACGTGCTTCACCTCCACCTTCTTGATGGTCGGCACGGCGTAGGTGACGGCAGGACTGTAGTGGAAGGCAGGGGCGGCGTAGGTGGCCGGCACGTAGGTCTCGTGCTCCTTCTCCTTCAGCTCGACAAGGGTGGTGTCGGCAGGAGTGTCGGCCTCCACCTTGTCGAACGAAGCGGTCTTGACGGTGGCCTTAGCCAGGGCCGGCAGGAGCACGGCGCTGCGACGCCGGCGCGCCGACTCCTCAGCAGGCTCGGCGGCGTCGGTGTCGGGCGCAGCCTCGGCGGCGGCGGCGGCGTCAGCGTACAGCTTGGCGAACTCGGCCTTGGCAGCGGCCACCTCAGGGGTGTCCTGCACCGGCTCGGGCGCCTGGCCGTCGAACACGGGCGACTCCAGGTTGAATTCGGGCGCCTTCAGCTCGTCCTTGGGCGCCACCGGCAGGTTGGTCGCCGTCACCCGGAAGCCGTTGACGTCGTCGGCCGTGTAGGAGACGGTCTGCACCTTGCCGTTGGCGTCAAGGTAGCTGTAGCTGCCGACGGTGGCGCCATCGAACCTCTTGTACTCGTTCTTGGACGAGAGGCCGTCGGCGTAGCCGTAGTTGAACTGTCCCAGCTCGTCCTGAGCGTGGTACTGGGAGCTGACGCTGCCAGCAGGCACGGCCGAGTAGGTAACGGGCGCAGGCGCGGCTGAGTACGTGAAGGGAGCGTTGTAGTTGTAGCCGCCGGCGTAGAAATAGGGGTTATAGACAGAGTAGGGGTAGCCCAGCTGGGCAGCGCCCAGCGCCAGGAGACAAGACAGAGTGACCTGCAATGGTAAGGAACAAAGGTCAATCGAGCTGGCTTTATTTTTAGACGTAACGTGCTGGTTTTGATGACCTTCTGTGTTTATTTATCCTTTGTTGTTACATGGAAATGATCGGGTGACTATGCAATCACCTATACATTTCCGTTATGTGGTGTTTCGGTAGTATTTTTTTTTTGTGTCACTAGCTACGCTGTGCATCAATCTGCCATGTATTTATAATGCATCAAAATATAATGCATTATTGGGTAAACGGTAAATACATTGAAGCTAAATTCGTTGTAATTCGTTTGCACTTTGCAGTAACCTCAATTGATTGCAATATTTCAGGAACATGTAGACTGAAGACTGAAAGGTAGACCAGACCCCATCGCCTAGTACTTACCAGGACCTTCATGTTCCCGCGGCTGGGCGTGCGACTGCTGCCGTCAGCCGGTGCCGGCCGCGTTAAATAGTGGCCGACGTGCCCCGAGGTGGGGACGTCTCTCAGCGGAGCGGCGGACGGCGGCCGGCCGGCGATGGAGGCTGATCCACAGGCGTGTCCTTCAACCCCGCCCATCAGTTCACACCGGCCAGCTCCGGGACTGGACACGGGGCGGGAGACGCCCCGCCCGACTTGCCCTCCCGTTACTCGCGCCACGGCTGTATGGAGAGCGCCCGAGGCACGTGAGGCTGATCTCAGAGATAGAAACCTTCCTCCAGCGGCTGAGTGGACAGCGATACTGAAAAGGTAGAACGCGCATGCGAATCATCGGCAAGTGAAGTGTTCTGAGGCCTGTTTCACTAACGAATAAAATTTGCACTTACTAAGAAAAACGGGTTTACATGAAATAATTACCATCATTTGAAATTTGGGGGCCCGGGCTCAATGGGGCCTCCGTATTCCGCTTGCCAGGGGGCCTTTCTCTATCGAGGGGCCTCCAAATGGCTTACTTTTTTACGGCCTCTGTATGTTTTGGTGACGTTCTTAGCGTTATTAGTAAAGTTTAACCCTCACCCTGGCAGGGGTGCTGGTCGACGCAACCCCCCACCCCTAAGGTTTTTCAAAGATAGGGTAAAATTGGCGGCGCGCAGCGCCGTTAAATTTGGCACAGCCTATGGGGCAACCTTTTTACATATAAAATTTCAGGTCCGGTTGGCCTTGGGTTCAGTGGCGGATCCAGGGGAGTGGGCAAAATGGGCATTTGCCCCTCCCAAACAGCATAACTTTAATATTACGCCTATGGACGAGGCATGGAAAGAATCGATAAATTGTTATGGTTTGCCCCCCCCCCAAAAAAAAAACTCTCTGAGCTGGATCCGCCTCTGCTTGGGTTAGGTGTAACGAAGTAACTTCCCTGTCCTATCAATTAGCCTCCTTGCCGACCGCCAAGCTTGAATTCCTAATATGGTAATCCCTTCCTTATTGTCCCCGTGATATGACGTATATGTGTGACGTATGACTGTGTGCCGGGCCGGAGCGGGCAGAGCCCCCGGCAGACCACGTTTGGGCCTTGTGGCAGACGGCCACGCTTGTTCATTACTAACCCCATTGGTTTGGCTAAGGCAAATAAAAGCCAAACAGGAACTCTTTCTGTTATTTATTGAAAACACAACGCGAGATAATAGACTTCACGAACCAAAAAGGTTACGTTAGGCCACCAGTTCAGAAAAACCGGTACAAGGTTATGGTCAAATTTCAATTTTCTCTATGTATCTGTCCAACTCACAGTTTTGGACTGATTTCCTTCAAACTTTCAGGATGTGCTAAGTTTACCGTTTTGTATAACATATAGTTCGGTTTTATGTCACTGACTTGAGGTCAGTTAGAGGTTATTATGTCGTAATGTTAAGCCTATGGGAAAATATTCAAATAACTCCAGTTCGGAAAATACTAGATATCTGCTTCGTTCTATCACTTTTGTGCTTTGATACCACAGTGCTTAACATTATGTCACTCGGTTTTTCTTTGATTGGTGTACTTATCCAAGAATCAAAAATGAAGGATCAAAAATGAGGTCAACTGAGGTCAAATGACGTTTGTGCCAATAACTTGTCACATAATAAAGATAAAGCCTTCAAAATGGTATCATTCTGTTCCTCTTGAACAGCCGAGCCGAATGATATGCAACATTAGGCATTTGAACCATTCTTAACCTCTTGAGACCCATGGTCGTGCCTTTTGAGTCATCAGCATTAAACTTTGTGCACTGGTTACTTTGGCTACACAAAGCAAAGCAAAAATGCAAAAATAGGATAAATGAGTTTGCGCATGCGCACTGGAATGGGCACTATGATGCCCAATGGTATTCTGCGAGTTCTCAGTAGGCATTCTTGAGGTAAGGGCGTTGATCTCAAAGATGAGAAATTGCGGCCTATAAGTCATATATAAACTGTAAAATGCGTGGATGGTGAATCATAAAGGCCTACAACGATACAAAGGTGTATTCAACTTGCACTGCATGTTGACAGGAATGCTCTCCGATACACAAAGGCGCTTTGTGATTCCAAATGTCTATGGAAGCGTCTCTCGAAAACTTTCAGTGGTGATCGAGGAGAGGCAATGGGCATGAGACCACGGTCGGAGAGAATTCAGCTAACCACAGAAAAAACGTCAGGTACCTACTTCAACAACGTCTACCACAACGCTTCTTTCACCCTCTCCTGTAGCCTCTACGAGCGCTTACGAGTTCCATATGGAACTCGTAAAAGCAGTCCCTTTCAGGACGGCAGCATAGGAAGATGCCGCAGGTGCGACATTCCATCCCGGTCTTCATGCTGCACCCAGCGTTTCGGCAACGGCGGAACTCCTTGCGGACGTGCGCCCTTGGGAGATGCTTGCCAGTAGCCACCAGCCGTGGCGACGGGATCGGCGGCACCCGTGCTCTTTTTGGTGGCATGCGACCTTGCTCTTCAGAGTCAGAGGAGGATCCAGATCCGTCGCTGATGTCACACCAGGAGAGCATCTGCTTGGCCAGGGCGTACTTGAACTCCAAGAACTTCATCCGCTGTTCACCGTGACTTCGACGATGAAGGATCCAAGCATTCACCGCCGCCATGTCGATGAAGTGCAGCACCGTATTGATGGTCCATTTCTTGGACTTGGCACCGGCACGATACAGCGCGATCATGCGGTCATTGAGGTCGACCCCGCCCATGCAGGCGTTGTACGCTTTGACCACGACCGGGCGACTTACAGTTCTGTAGGATCGTGTCTTCTCGTAGCGTGACACTTCGCCTTTAGGCTCAATGCCATGCTCCGTAGAGGCCAAGTAGATGGCGCGCTTGTCCTGCCAAAGCGTAAGGGCGACGATCGAGTCGCTTCGGATAGAGCACTGGGCGAAACCACGCTCTTTCTTGGGCAGCTCCTTCTCGGTCATCAGTCCTGCTTCTTTCGGCACGTAAATCTTCTTCACAGTACCAGTGCCATGCAGCTGCTTAGACTGCATGTGCTCCAGGAGTCTTGGCGTCGTGAAGAATCTGTCGAAGAAGACTGAAGTTCCTTGCGGCAGACTTTCCGTCAGCCGGACGACAACGGACTCTCCGACCAGCCATGGCTTGCCGCCTTCACCACCGTCAGCTAGCTTCTTACCCTGGTACACCTCAAAGTCCAGAACCATGCCATCAGATGAAGCCAGGACGAAGTTCTTCAATTGTAGTGTCCGGGGCCGGGTCTCCGGGAGCAGCGCCTGCCACGCACAAACACTTCCTCGCTCAATCAGGACCAGACTGTGTATTGGGCGCGGCCTGCCCCGGTCGCGCCCTAGGAACAGCGGTACAGTGCCCCTGGCGGCCTCCAGTGACAAGCGTAGACAATACCACAACACTAAATCAATCCTTCCGGGTTCGGCTTCCCGGGTACGAACTGCTTGAGACCCGTCTTTCCTGTGAAGGGTATCATCTGTTCGTCGATCGAAACCTCCAAGGGTCTCTCAATCTTCAAGCATCCCTGACGAATCGTCTCAAGCAGAGGCCACACCATCCAAAGGCGATCCTGTTGTCGAGCATCCAGCGGAACTTCCTCGTCGACGACGATCTTTATCAGACTACGTACTTGATGGAAGTGAGCCCTGGTGAAGACGTCAGCTACAGCTGCGACCCGCGTTTCTCTTGCCCAGTACAGGTGTATCCACGGCAACTTCATCACCGACATCAGGAGGGTGACGCCGAATAACTGCACACATTCATCTCGCTTCAGGAGAAGACTTTTACCAGACGTCCTGACCGCATTTCGGTTGGAAGTGTTTGTGATCAGCTCGGAGGTTTCAAGTGGGACAAACTGCTTGAAGCAGTCCAGTGGAGTTGCCGAAGCGGAGAGCGAGTGGATGCCAGTGCCGTGTGCCAAGCCGTCTCCCGCTGAGCCGTGGCTGACGCGTTCGTGCTGAACAGGGGTGAAGACACCAGTCTCCTGAAGAAGGTGCGTCGTGCTGCTCCCGAAGCAGTTGAAGGCGTTCCGGAAGATGAAGAGGCCTGTGCTGAGGGGAAGTTCGGAAGTACGTTGCTTGTTGACTCTTGTCAGTTGATCAGTGTCACTTGAGGACGACTCGGAGTCTGCCAGCACCTCACCAACATCAGCATAACTGCCATCTGAGCCTGAGCTGTCGCTGGTCACGTCAAGGTCTGATTCAGATTCTAGCGGTGCTCGAAGACAGTCGGAGATGGCCTTTCGCGTGAGGAGTACACCTGAAAAGGAATGGAACAGGATATGAGAGTTGGAAATGATACTTATTGGATTTGAGGTAGGTGTAACTTGATGTGACTTTCCATCCGTTTCATCAAATTATCTTGTGGTGTATTTCAGCACGCAGAGTACCGCTGGGCACTATGGTGTCCAATGATCGCATGCACCAGAGTCCCGTTGGGCATCGCAATGCCCAAAATGAAATGTTAGAAAGCACCGTTGGTCACTATAGTACCCGCTGATGCATTGAAGGGCCCAATTATCTAATAACCATTCATCGGATTTGTGCCATATCAGTTGGATAGCTTAAATATGAGAAACACATTTGTGTTTGACACATTAACTGCTTAAAAGTACACTTTTCCAACAAAGCAAGCTCACAGAAGTGTCGGTTGACCACAGTGTACCATAAGGTACATTGACTTTCGTTGTTTCCTGATACGCAATTGTAAATGCCCGGCAGGTTATTTTTGTAGCACTCACTAATGTGATATCTTAATTTTTTATTTTCACAATATTGTGGAAAATGTCCACCTATGTCCCAAGAAAATAGCAATTGACTACAGCTACTCACGCCGTCCGCGCCCTCTCCCGCGCCCCGACATTTTGTTAACGTTGTCAAGGTCGAGCAATTAGAGCCGATCCAACAAGAGGTGGTATATTTATAAGCAATTTGATAGTGACGTCAACTGAGCACAATAGTGAAGCTTGATAAGTAGAGGTATTTAGGGTAAGATTTTTACAAGTCACGGGTACTATAGTGCCCTAATTACCCCAAGAGGTTAAGACTTAAATTTTTATTAAGTTGTGTTTAACTTTTTAAGTATACTTAAGCAAGCAAGAGAGTATATCATTCGACGCGCCTTGACGTGCTGAGTTCACTATTTATGCCTCCCAAAACCCCGTAAAGATTGACCTAGAGCAACCAAAGTTGCACAGGGGCGAGAATACTAAGGGGCCACCTACCTACCAAATTTGGTATTTCTAGGTGCCATAGGCGCCAATCGCGAGGGGTGTCGCATCGACCCCCACTCCCTTGCCATGCCGCGTTATGAAAAATGCCCTGCCAGGGCGAGGGTTAACTTAGATTCCCTCAAATTTAACACCTTAGATGCGTTCAGCTTTTACGATACAAGTCGACTGATACGGAACATAAGCCTGTGACTTTGACGTGAGGTCAAATTCTAGTCTTCTTTTCCAGGTCAATTTACAGATAATTTGTTGCGTCTATGTAGACGAAATACATGCGACGCCAGTAAAATTAAAGCAATAATAGCTAAGTGTCAAAACTTGTTGGAGAAAAGTGTTTTCCAAAAACGTCATATTTTCAGAGTTCTTGCCTTCTGGAGGATAGGCTGTTGACCCTAGGTCAAATAACAAAAAAAAAAACTCAAATTCCCTAATCAGAAAGAGCTGTCAAAGCATTTTTTTCTGCGGCGCTGTATCCATTTCAATTTGTTCCGGAGTTATGCGCCGATTTGTGAAAAATGTAAATACGTCAAAACTGGAAAGCAGAATTTGTGATTATTTTACTTTTGGTGACTTCCAAGGACACACGGCGATCAGTGTCGAAGCCGATCATCAGGCTATTAACAAGAGCCTGAAGACCACAAAAACCGTAGCAGACTTTGAAGACAGACTTTGAAGACTGGGTGGACATCGTCGCCAGTACCGGCGTAAGAGTCAAGGTGATGACAGGAGGTGACTTCGTGGAGGCGGAAAACGTCTTAAGCGAAGCAAAAATCCGCCTCCTGCAGGGCATCGATGCCAGACCATACCTCAGGCAGGGTTGGATAAAAGCCGGCTGAAATTGAATTTATGCCAGCCAGTGGTTTAAACCGGTTAAAACCGGTTTAAACCGGCTTAAATTAATAAAAACCACCTTCAGTCAAAACATCTACTAAAACTTATCTTGTGGGTCAGTGTACTCGTTGGTGACTGTGCAGAGTGCAGGAAGTCAATACCTTGTCATTTGGTATTATGTCAACATTTTGGCATGTGATTATGTTGACGACAATCTGGTCAGTTCAGTAGGTAACTAAGCTAAGAAACAAAGTAGGCATAAGGCATAAGCACATTCTAACCTTAACATTCGGTTTACCAGTTGAAAGTCTCACTTTATTTTACATGTAAAATGTATTCTGACCAATCGTCTGCGGACTGGGCCAGTAACACTAGAAAAAAATATTTATCATGGTATCACCCATTCTGTGATTTTTTCTTTAATTGCACAGGAAATAATTGTAACAACTCATCATTTATAAATCTTTTTTTTTATAAATTTAGTCCGAACCTTTTGATGGGAAGGATTCACAAGGACAGAGCCACCGCTAAGCGAAGCTTGTTGCGATGACCCTGCCCTCTACCCTCCGATCGCGCAATTCCGATTCTATGGCAGAATTTAGAGTCCAAAGTTTTACGTGCGCACAAAGCCGCGCACGGCCGGTCCCCTCGCTGACTTCGCCTGGCTACGGCCTGCCACCAACCGCAACCATACCTGTCAGGAGGCCCATAAATGTCGAGCGCCCGTCGCGCTTCGAACCCGGACTGTCTTAACCGGGAACGCGTGCTCTCACCACGCGGAGTCCAACGCTCTAACCAACTGAGCTACGGGACCGGCATCTTCTGGAATGTTCCTATGGTTTGTGTTTTTTCAGGTAGTGCATGCTGTTTTCTTGGTATAACAGTGTCCCTAACTATTCACACTTATTATTGTTTTTTACATGAACTTTGGAGCCTATAATGGTGGCCGTGCTGTCAATTCCTTTGTTTGGTGTCACTGACTGCTTAAGCAATAGACAGTTCCCTAGTAAATAGGCAATGTTCTGTATGATAGTTCTTAGGCCTTACCATTCACTGATCCTTGCACCATGCATTTAGCATTAGGTCATGTTTGCTACAGCTTCTCATAAAATTGAAATTGGTTTCTTTATTGAAGCAGTCTCAAAGACTTTTCATTCCATGATGATGAACCACCTATTTAAACAACTAGTTGTGTAAAACACTGCAAATCAAAATAAACTTTTGACACAGGGTGATACAGATCAATAATGAATGACATAAAGTTAACCCCCAGGAAAAACATTACAAGTTAGCATTATAATTGAAAGATGTGTATAGAAAATGTGAAGAGAAGAAGCAGTTTAACCCAAGTGATGTTACGACAAGTTAACGCAAGTGGCATTTATTATGTTGGTGCACACTGGTTTAAACCGGGGTGGCTTAAATTAGTTTATGCCAGCCGGTTTAATCCATGGATTAAACCGGTTTAAACCGGCTGCTGGCATAAATTTGCCAACCCTGACCTCAGGGACTTGGAAAGTCATTCAAGTCCGAAAGGGCTCCGAGCTGCTGTACACCAAAAGCAGTTTTGACCAGACAAGCTGGCGAACCTACAATCTGGTCATGGCAAAGGTCGACCTGGCGAGGCCACTGAAGCCGAGAGGACGGGAGCGGTGCATCAACAAAGAGAAGATAGACGACCTGTGTAGCAAGCTGGTGCACCTTATGCCTAGCCACAAAAGGGCCTTCTGGCTGCGACTGCAGCAGAACGCGAAGGCCACTGTGCGCGACCTCGTCGGCTGAACGGCCACCAGCTGAAGGATAGCGGCAAAAAAAAAAGATTGCCCGCTACAGGGCGAAGGATGTCATGCCGTTCCATGACTTACTACATTAATCATACTGGAGAAGTGTTCTAGTCATGATTGTTTTTTAAACGCCATGTTGTCGTTAATGTGGTTAAAATGTTGCCCCTGCCAGAAAGCCTTTATTAAAGCCACAACCGCTTTTGAAACGTGTTCTTTTTGAATTGTTGAGAATGAAATACACCATCCATTCATTCACTCATTCATTTTCTTTCATTAAAGGACTAAGTACGTTTTTTATCAGACATATGTTGGGATGTATATATGTATCGAACAAGGAACAAAAAACGTAACGCGCTTTTACGCCTTTCGCGTTGTCATTAAACCACATTTTCATCGATACCAACCAAATTAAATCAACGTATGTGCCTCGATACGTTTAAATGCCACTTCTTATGATCCACATATGACCAAGGAAAGAAAACGCAACTGTCTTCCACCGGCATCTTTTGTTACATACGTTTTCTTTGCTTTGTCAAAGCTATTCATACGGCTACTTTTGACCACGGAAAAACGCATTCAGCAAGATATTACAAAAAAATATACATTTTCTACCCAAAATAACAAGACAGTTAAACGTCTGAGGTAGAACCAAACATTTTGGTACCTTATTTTGAAATAATTGAATGAAAATATAGCAGATAGTTCGAAAAAAACCTTAAAACAGCTCTAACTCGAAAAGGGGTAAATGGCGCTTACGGTTTTCTTCCTTTGGACGGCAGTGTGACCTGACCTGGTATGACCAGTGACCTCTAATAACAACACATCAATATGTACTAGACAACTGACGCCCTATCGCTGATTTTCTACAAAATGCGTTTTCCTCGGTGTTATAGCGCTTTCCCTAGAAGACCCGTGAACGGTGAGACATTTTATCTTTGACCTGACCTGTGACGTCATCGGTGACCCCGAGGTCAATGAAATTTGGTTTCCTTCGACAAATTTGACAGGGTTATCCAACATCGTTTGAATTTTCCGGATCCGTCCAGTAGTTTCGGAGATACGGGGGAGGCAAAAAATGCCCCCCCCCCCACCGCGCGGAAGGTGGCCGAGAGGCCCACCGCCTGCCGGGTTAAAGAATGGCTACCCGAACTATGTCCTGAACAGGTTGCTCAGAGAGCACATTGCTCCAACAAACGGTAAATAACTTTTGAAAATACCTATCTCCAATTTTAGTGTTTTCTGAACCCAAATTTTGCGAGGAATCCGATGGTGTGGTCTTTGAAATCTGAAAAATTTCCATTTTGGAGATAGCACCTATTTTTTGAAAAGTAAATATTCGTCATGCACAAAAGTCAAATAAATTGAAAATATTATGAGTGAATATTTATACTAACACTAGAATGTATCGAACATGAATTAGTGATATATTTTAGCTGAGATGATACTATATCTGCTCATACATGTACATGAATTAGTACATTAACACTCGTCGGCCGAGAAGGGGTGGGGCGGATGCCGCCTCATAGGGTTTTTTTCGCGATAGCTCAAAACACGCTGAGGGAAAACAGCTGAAACTTGGCATACCTAATATTTTATTCAAGCTGGATATTTTGACACCAACTGCGTTTTCAGGTCAGGTCAGGTCACTGACCTATGACGTCATAAATGAACCTCTGCACGGTCCTCAGAAGTTGCAACTTTGCAACGCCCTCAGTGCCAGAGGAACTTTCACAGGAAGATGAAACTTACAGGACGTAGTATCCTTTAGAGGTCTCACAAATTGTATATCTCAGATTTTTTCCCAAATGTCACATGAGGTCAGTTCGGTCACGTGACCTCACCATAATAAGTCAATGGAGGGAAATATGAAAACTGTTATTTTGACGCCGGGATTGTCTAAAAACTGTCCCAAGCACATGAAATCGTGGTTTCATGCACTCTTTGTAAGGCCCGATCATGAAACCACGATTTCATATGCTTGGGATAGTTTTATATCATTTCCGGCGCCAAAATAACAGTTTCAATATTTCCCCCATTGACTTATAATGGTGAGGTCACGTGACCGACCTGACCTCATGTGACATTTAGGTTAAATCCGAGATAAACAAGTTGTGAGATCTCAGAAGGATACTACGTCCTGTAACTTTCATCTTCCTGTGAAAGTTCCTCTGGCACTGAGGGCGTTGCAAAGTTGCAACATCTGAGGACTTCGCAGAGGTTTATTTATGACGTCATAGGTCAGTGACCTGACCTGACCTGAAAACGCAGTTGAGGTCAAAAGATCCAGTTTGAATAAAAGATTAGGTATACCAAGTTTCAGCTGTCTACCCTAAGCGAGTTTTAAGCTATCGCGAAAAGCCCTATGAGGCGGCACCCGCCCCACCCCTTCTCGGCCGACGAGGGTTAATGTACTAGTTCATGTACATGTATGCGCAGATATAGTATCATCTCAGCTGAAATATATCTCTAATTCATGTTCGACACATTCTAGTGTTGTTACAAAAATCAACTCATTATATTTTCAATTTATTTGACTATTATGCCTGACGAATAATTATTTTTCAAAAAATAGGTGCTATCTCCAAAATGGAAATTTTTCGGATCTCGGGGACCACACCATCGGATTCCTTGCAAAATTTTGGTCCAGAAAACACTAAAATTGGAGATAGGTATTTTCAAAAGTTATTTACCGTCTTTTGGGGCAATGTGAGAGGCTAGGGGGAACAAGAATCAGTCGAGAGCTAGAAGGAACAGGACCCAAGAACCTTGTGATGGATTCCTTACATTTCCTTGAGTACATGAAAGACTGCAGTGCGAAGTTAAGAGGAAAGTGAGACAATCAGGCCTCAATGTAAAGTTAGCATGGAAAAATTCAAAACAACTGAATATATTCGTGTGGGTGTGCTCACATATTACTTTTGATGGTCATGTATGTGTGTCATGTATATCATGTATATGTGAATAGGTGGAGTTGGAACAGCTTGGGATTATATATTCCCGACCGGGGCTGGGAAAATGCGTTTTATTCACAGAGGTTTTTGTGCGGAGGACCGAGTGCCGGTAGGCACGAGGT